TATGTTGGAGGTAGGTAACTACTGGCAGGGTCTCCCATGCCGAACAGGTCTCTGAGGTGAGGCCAGACAAAGAAGAATACAAAGCACACTTCACTAACACACTCACACATACATACACCCGTGCCTCAAACGAGTGTCTCAAACGGAGCCTATGGGATACCGGGCAATCTCCCATAGTAACATGCCTTGCGTCTGCACTGGGTGCTCTGCAGGCGTTGACCTTCTTTCGCCCCTACTCGTGGGAACTTTATGGACAGAGGACATAAAAAAACAAAAAAACGAACGAGGAGGACTCAGAAATGAGTGACTCCTCAACAAATGTTCCGGAGAATCCAGAAAGGGAAGACTCTGGAGCAGAACCAGACACCGACGCTGGCCGGGCCAAGTACAACGAGGGCAGATTCTTCTGCGTATCGTGAGAAACAGCCTGCCGAGGTGTCAAATATAACCACAGGACTTGGAAACATAGGCCTGCGGAACAAGAGAATTTCAGGAGCACAGAAAAAGAGGATCCTGAAAGCTAAAAAAAATAGCAGAGGGAACCTGGACAAGGGAGAACCCTGCTAAGAAAAATAGGGCAAAGAGAGGAGGGAAAACGGACAAACACGGACCGTCAACCAGCTCCACTCCAGCCAAGAAAAAGGAAGAAAGTACGTGCAAAAAAAGACCGCACTCGGACTTCTCTACACCCCCTGTGGCCAGTTTGAGGAAGAAACCCAGGAGCACGGAAGTGCAGACTGGTGTTTCTTACAGTGATGCCTCAAGGGAACTTAGGATGGCGGTGATTTCCAGACGCCATCCCGAGACAACACTGAGTCAGGAGCAAGCGGACCTGATACAAGCGAGGCTGTTGGCGGCATTGACTAAAACTCCTTCAGGGAGCCAGGGGCATTTTTCGACATAGGGGCATTTAGGGGCATTCCTCGACATAGAAGGGGCGTTTGATAACACCTCATTTCAGTCACTGACGAGAGCTACAAGGAACCTCGGATTAGAGGAGACCTGCTACAGGTGGATAGACTGCATGCTCAAAACTCGAGTGGCATATACCACCCTCCTAAATGAGACTGTTGCAGTCCGGGTGGCGGGATGATGCCCGCAGGGGGGAGTTCTTTCCCCTCTGCTGTGGAATCTCGTTATGGACGGACTGCTTAATAGTCTCAACAGGGCTGGTTTCAACACTCTGGGATATGCAGACGATTTGGTCGTGTTAGTCAGACGTAAGTTTAACACAACAGTAAGGGAGCGAATGCAAAAGGCCTTGAAGATTGTGGAATCATGGGTGACACGGGAGGGACTAAATATTAGTCCTACAAAGACCGTAATAATCCCCTTCACCAAGCGCAGAATACTTGAGGGACTAGGCCCTCTAAGACTCTGCGGTGATGAGATTCCTCTCTCGGGGGAGGTCAAGTATCTAGGAATCACGCTTGATACCAAACTGACCTGGAACCGACATTTGGAAAATGTCACAAGGAGGGCGGTGACTACACTAGCGGTAGTCAGACGCCTTCATGGAAAAATCTGGGGTCTTAGACCACAGATGGTGCACTGGCTGTACACTGGAGTGGTGAGGCCTTCAGTAACATATGCATCCTTGGTATGGTGGCCTAAGGTAATGCAACAAACAACAATGCTCAGCCTCAGCAAGGTGCAAAGACTTGCTTGTCTAAGCATAACAGGGGTGATGAAATCAACGCCTACTGCATCAATGGAGGCGCTTCTGCACCTTCCGCCTCTTCACATATTGATCCAGGCGGAGGCAAGAATTGGACTCTATCGACAACAAAGTGTCTTGTCTCTGGGAAATAGGACAGAAACAGGACACTCAAAGATGGGAAATCCTATCGGGGGACCTCTACTCCAAATGAGATCGGACCAAATGACCCCTCTTTATCACTACCACCATAGACTACCACAAACCATTCGAGGTGAACAAAATGGATCGAGGAATGTGGACAAATATAACATTGCTTCAGGATAGACTACCCTGGTATACAGACGGGTCAAAGACCGCTGAAGGAACAGGAGCTGGAGTATTTGGGGAAAGACCAAGGGTAAGTTTATCCTTTTCCTTGGGTAAACACTCAACCGTATTCCAGACAGAAATCTTCGCCATTCTACAATGTGCGAGAGAAAACAATAGAAGAGCTTATTCAGATAATCAGCTCATCAATATATGCTCAGACAGTCAGGCGGCACTTGAGGCCCTTATGAGCCCAAAGGTATCGTCGAGACTCGTCTGGGAATGCCTAGGTGAACTGGAATCTCTGGCTCGCCGGAACAAAATTAAATTATTCTGGATACCGGGCCACAGCGGCATCCAAGGCAACGAAAAAGCCGATGAGCTAACTAGGCAAGGATCATCGGCATCTTATCTTGGTCCAGAGCCAGTACTGGGAATACCCAAATGTATGGCGCGTAGTGCATTAAAACTCTGGATCAGGGAAAAGCAGAATGTCCACTGGAGGAACAGACAGGGGCACAGGCACAGCAAGGCTTTTATCCAAGGACCTAGCTCCAAAACCGCAAAAGAACTGCTAATGCTTAGCAGGAATAAATTGCGGATTACAACAGGCCTCTTGACAGGACATATGGCTGTCAAGTGTTACCTGAACAAGCTCAATCTGTATCAAGGAAGTCTTTGCTGCAGACTCTGCGATAAAGATCCTGAAATAGCGGAGCACATAATATGTCACTGCGACGCTCTGGATCGCAAGCGACACTTTTCATTTGGGAAAGCTAGGCTAGAACCGGAGGAACTATGCTCCCATCCTATCAAGGACCTGCATAAGTTAGTGTAGGGCACAGGGATAGGAGAATGGGTGCAGATATAGAAAGGGGACAAACACAATAGGCCTCACAGGTCGCAGTGTTTCCGGCAGAGGACGGCCCCTTATTGTGGAAAAAAAGCCAAATTAGGCAAAGAAAATAAAGCCCTCCTACTCTGGGTGTCCGCTCACCAAGGGATAGAAGACAATGAAAAATCAAACGGTCTAGCTAGAAAAGGAGCAAACAGTCCAACTGGACCGTTCTGATTTTCAAGCGGAAACCAGCTTAAAGAGGAAATGAAGAACTTGGAGGACTCCATCCTTAACCTGGAATGGGTATCCTCCAACGGTCCAAGACGCTCGAAAAACTTTCTCAGAACTTACTGAGAAAAATCAAAGATTTTCCTTGATTTAAGTAAGAACAATCTTTAGATTGTCACGGGGTTTCTAACAGGACATTGTCTCCTCAACGAACACCTTAATAGATTAAAGCTGAGAAACAACGGCGAATGCAGATTCTGTGGGGAAAATGGGGAAACACCAGAACACCTTATCACTGTGTGCGCCGAGACGACAACCGTTCGTGCCATAAACTTTGGTCCGGCTGATATCGAAGATGGAGAGCTGACCTCTGTGGAGCCGTCTCAGATACTGGCTATTGTCAAAGCTCTGAGACTGTATGATGAGTTATAACCCACTATTACTCAAGAAAGGAGAAAACACAATAGATCTGTAAGTTCGCGGTGATTAAGCACCCTTCTAAACATTCTACATTCTGCACAGGCGCGTGGCGAACGCCCCTGCGGACTCCGCGTAGCCTGGGCCGGACTCCGCGTGGCCTGGGGGGCTCCGGTTAAATTGGGGGCCCCCGTCCCCCATCCTTCAAAAATAATTATCAAACAAACCGAAAACTGAAATTACGTTTAGGCACACAATCCTTTTTTCAGCAATAATGAGGCTGATATAAAACAATTATTTTACACTACATTATTCTCTACAGGTATAATAATATAATTATTGTAGGGGTTAATTTGGAATTTGATTTAGTTGTAAATATGTTTAGGCGACACAACACACAGCGATTATCATGTTTTCACGGCGTTTTCGATTAAAAGTATCATATCGGTAGACTCTTTTTCCATAAGCACACAAGGTTTCATTCCAAAAACTCCTTTTTATTATCCTATTTAATTACAACACACTTAACTTAAATATAACTAAATAAACAAAAATCAGTTCTTGTTCATGTTAAAAAAGTAACAAACAATATAAAAATCCCAGGAATCTGATATCTTAGCTAATGCCAAAGTATTAATAGACAAATATCCTAACGACCTAACACAAAATCTACCATCGGAGCTAATTCAAGCAAAAAATTTACTTTATGAAAAAATCAAAAGTTTTCACAATATCAGAGAGTTTTCTGATTTTATTTTTGAAAAAAAAAAACAATTACTGATTAGCAGTATACCTGAGATTTGCACTGTATTCCAGTTGTTTCTGGTTCTCCCTGTAACATCCGCTGAACCAGAAAGAACTTTTTCTAAGCTCACTGGCCATAATATCAGTTGAGAATGATCGAGCAAAAGAGGTGTAGATTTGGACATCCTCGTAAACAAGTTCCCTTTGTTAAAGTCGAGGAAAAAGGAATAGGGACTTTCTAATATACCATAGGATACTTCATAAATATTGAAAATCTCTTGTTCACATTTGTGTTTCAGTTATTAGTAGTTAAATATTGAGTTATTTTTTTTTAATAAAACTTTGATTAATTAGAAGCATAAATGTTTGTTTTCTAGTTTTAGTATTTTAAGAGTACTATAATAATAAATAAATAAATGTTGAAACTATTATCAAAATATAAAAAAATATCACTATCACATTGTAGTTCTTATTAAAAAATATGTTTCAAGCAGATATCACAATAATGATGTATTTGAAGGAATTTTTGAGCATACTTAGGGAGGGGATCCTAAAAATTTGCTACGCTACTGATTCTGCATTATAACCTCTCTAATTAACAGAAATACTCATTTGCTAGAGAAGCAATATTAAAATGGGCTATACGAGTATACCTTGTGGTTTTATTTATTTTCTAATGAAGAAGTTTACATTATGTATCATTTTATAACCATGTAAAAATATATTTTCGTAATATTGTCATATATTTTGTATTGGGAAAAATAGGACAGAATAAAGGGTTTTCGGTAGAGCAATAAAACGCCAATATTTTTTCTATTCTCATTTTATTCCTGTCTAATTCTTAAAACAGAACTACTTAGGAAACACTCCTAGTATTTCCTACGACAAGAAAAAGTCAGCTTAATCAACTATAAGAAAATAAAAAAATGCTATATAGAAATATAATAATCACAGTTAATTCTACCTTAGTATAATAGTTTTCAAAATACCAACGTATTATTGCTTTGTGACTGGAAGAAATCTTCCAGTAAGAAAACAGTTCCATCCATCCACTAAAAGGTTCCTTTTCTTTATTATTTTCATTTAAACAACCCAAAATTGATTATTGCACGCAGCGTACATATATTTTGAAAACCTCTGAAGTCAGAACTCAGAAACATCATGCAATCTTAATTTGATAACACCTTTGATATATATATAACATTAATCAAAGATGGTGATACAATTACAGTTCAATTGCAGTATTGAAATAAATCAGCCTATAAGGGGCAAAAAGAAACTTTTTACCTATAATTAACTATAACTTTAATATTAGTCTCTTAAAATATTATCATTATAGCTATGAACTAACTAATGAACATTATACCTTCCTTATATGGCTGTATTTAGAAGCACAAGAATTGACGTTGGATGTTTGCACAACCTAATAATCCAAAATAAATTAATTACTTTTATTACTTTGTCCCCATATTTTGAAAAATAAGAAAAAATAAGAAATTTCAAAACATAAGGTCCAATTTTTTTTTAATTTTAGGTTGACTAGCTCTATTAGAAAGTAACATTAAATCTTTTCCTCAGTCTGGCCCTATGCTTAAATGGGTTTCTTGTGCTTTTCTTTGCCTTAAAAGTCTAAAGCAACTCTATAATGTTTCCTTTAACCAGTACCTTTTATAAATTTTGTCTGGTTGAAGTAAACATTTTATTATGTTTGTTATTAACAAAACCCTTAGAAAGTATAGTATATATTAGAAAAAAAAATAATAAAACCAATTTTTAACTAAAAATTGAAGTTGAGTAAAAATATAAATATATCATATAAAAAGAAAATTTCCAAGGAATAGTAAAGAAGGTGAGCGAGAAATATACAGAGTAAATAATTATGGCAACATTAAAAATAGTCTTCTAATTTTTAAAATAAATTTGTCAGTTTAATAGGTGCGAGAAGTACAAATTAAAAGTATGCATTATTTTCTTTATGTTTCGTATTTTCAGAAATTCAGTTATATATTTCTATATAAATATTATCAAAAGAAATATTTTTTTTTACCTGTAATTATATCCAATCATAACATTTTGTACCTCCCTAACCTCTATATCCATACATTATTAGTTTTAAAATATTATTATTTTTAGCTTGTCTTATGGCACAATTAAAAAAAATACTAGTGATGTGCAGAAAATGATCTATCCAACAGAAGTAATCCAATATTTTGTTAAGTTGTTTACTTGGAAGTATTTTGGAAACAATATTAGTAGAAAAAATATTTATCTATGACAGATTTTTCTTTAGTGATCATTTGTCGTATGTATAACGTTTCAACAATATCTAGAGAAATCTCTGACTTGATTCAGTCAATCAAATAAAAAATCAACGTCATATGGCAAGATTTTCAGAAAAAAAAAACATTCGGTAGAGTTTTCAACAGAATAACATGAAGTTTGTCAAATATTTTGTCGTAAGTTACAATATTAAATAATCTTTGGTAGTCAAAACTGCAACCGTCATTCCCTGAAATCACTAAAGAAATACCTCAAATATCCTATTTACAAATACAAAATACCCAAACGTAGCTGCACATCACTAATAAGTACAATTTGAATCTAACATTTTTCTGTCTGATATTATTATAATTCAATAAACAAATTTATTCATAATTCCATCAAATTCTAAAAGTTTTAATGAATAATAAAGTAACCCAACTAGTAAACTGCTATTTTTAAAATTCTAAGTACTAATTTTTAGGCCATTAAAATATAGCAAAACAATATACTACTTAATTATCTCAAAGTAAATATTTCTATGAAACAAGACAAAATATATTCGAAAAAAAAATCCGATATACGCATGCAGAACACTAAATCATTGAGCTGAGCAATTACATAGAGTATTCGTTCTAACTTCTCTAATTCGCGGTATCGTAAATCCAGCTACAATACTTGATCTAGCATCATCATTCCATCTAGGGGAGAATTAGAAAATTAACTCCCCTTTAATCCAATCGAGCACTCTTCTACCAAACTCCTGTTTATACACTAGCCATTGTAGCTGGACTATTGGTAGATTTACCAAGCTGGATAATGCTAAGTGCATGGTGTCAGGCTGTTATTGAGGCTGGTGACTGAGTCAAAATGGGCTGGCAAAGTTAGAAGAGCTTCTTCGGTGGTTCGATCTTCGGAGCAATTGATGGGTTTAGCTCTTGTGGTGTTAACGCATTCGATGGGCATCTTGATGGTTTCCATGTTGTAGTTAAATCCTTGAAGAGTAATCTGAAAAGAATATATTTCATTAATGTATTAAGCATCATTACAAGTAATATGCAAATCTATTTATAGGTATACACTGGATATACAGGGTGGTAAGAACTGTATTCCGGAAACTTCGATAGCATATTCTGCAGATAAAAATAAGTAAAAAAGTTCGTATAAATGTATGTCCTAAAATACTTAGTTTCGGAGATACAGGGTGTAGAAATTTCATTTTTATTTCGATTTTTTCTAAATAACTTCTGAAGTAACGTCAATATTTGGACGAAAATTGGTGTCTGGGAGTTTTGTGACACGAGAAATTTGGTTTTGATGTCAAAATGACTCCTATTTGTAGGGGGCGCCACCTACATGTGTTTTAACTTTTTTGAAGCGTAATAACTTTTCGTCCGTACCTGTATAAAACTATTACTAAAAGCATATACATTTTTATGACTTTTTACGTAAAAAATGTCTCTTGGTAAAAATCGCTACGAGCAACCGTTCTCAAGATATTGAGAATAGAATTAGTCTATACCTTTGAATAAGAAGACTAAGGAAGGAGAATAAATGCTACCCATGTATTCATGCATGGCGGGCGGAAAAAGGACTCTAGGGTAGGGATCCTTGACAGTTCTGTTTGACGATTCATTTCACACATTTGAATTTGATTTGAAATTTGGTGGATTTGTCAGTCTTTACGGAGCTTATTTTATATTATTTATATTTTTATTGTTATATTTACTTTTTTTCTCTTTCTTCTATTATTGTATATGGCACAGTTGTACAGATAAAGTCCTTTATTATTATTATTTATTATTTATTCTACTACTGATAGTTGTAAATGTATATTTTTTTACTCGGTAGTGTTATACAGGTATGGACGAAAAGTTATTACGCTTCAAACCAGTCAAAACATATGTAGGTGGCGCCCTCTACAAGTAGGAGTCATATTGACATAAAAATCAAATTTTCCATGTCAAAAAACTCCCAGATACCAATTTTCATCCAAATATTGACTTTATAAATTATTTGGAAAAAAATGATATAAAAATGAAACTTCTACACCCTGTATCTCCGAAAATAAGCATTTTAGGACATACATTTATACGAACTTTTTTACTTATTTTAATCTGCAGAATATGCTGCCGAAGTTTCCGGAATACAGTTCGGACCACCCTGTATATATTTTTTTTTATTTTTGAAGTTTTTTGATGGGTTAATATATTAAGATATACTAGCTATTATAATGCTTTAAATATTTACAAGTATGTGCGTCCTGCGTCCAAATAGAGAATACGATTTCGACAGACGGTATTCAAAAATTGACAAAAAAATAATTAATCTTTAAATTAAAATAAGAGTGAACACGTGAAAGATATTGCACTTCCTTGAAAATATACGTTGCAGTGGCTTTCAGAAACCTGAAAAGAAAGATCCGTTATACAACGGCTATACAACCACAGAGATTCACAATGAATCATTGTTCACACTTCAATTCGCAGACGATCAAGAGTAATAGTCGCCAATGAGAAAGTTGATATGTAATATAGACTAAGAAAGCTTATGGAAGAATACAGAGAATGAGGGTTGACAGTTAACATAGACAAAACAAAATATCTAGGTATAGATAGGTACACAAAAAGAAAATTTGAAGATGAATAACGCTCAAGAATTCATAGTGTCAAGAATATGAGTTCTGAATACCTAGTAATCGGGAAAAACGGATTATTGGCGTGAAATAATAATCGGATGTCTTAACGTCTAGTTTTATTCAGTGCAGTGATTTCCAATTTAATTGTAAAAAACAGTTAGTTTTGACGTAAGAAACGTCAAAAGTTGATGTTCTCCAATCGCGACCAAATTTGGTGGGTATAGGCAACCACCCTGCAAAGTTAGATACGACGTTTCGTTTACATCTTCATCAGGGTGGGACTAAGGATTTGATATTGAAGAAAAATGTGGGTGATATTGAAAAAAAAACATAACTGGGGACGGGCCACAGGATGACGCCTTCGGCATTTCAAACCGATGTTTCCAAATGAACGAAATCAATGGGCATTTTTCTTAATTATGGGACGATTGGAACCAAACTCGGCACGTGGATAGAAGTACCTGAATGGAGTCATCAGATGGACAGATGGTCTTTTAATACAAGTTTTGTGAAATTGAATCAAATTATTTATTAATTTTTAATTTATTAGTTTTTCTACATTTCAAAATACACTTTTTCAAACATGTCCTTTAAATCCTTCAATTTAATAGCTGTTAGTAAGAAGTTTCACTTCAAATATGCGCACATAGTGCACACACACTTTTTTTATAAAAAAAAAGATGCCATTTTATTTCTTAAAAATATTATAATATGCTAAATGCCGATCATTTTGCTTCTAGCATGAAACAATCTCTATGCAGCAGTTTTGATGGAAGCCTTTAATTGTGTCTTGACTATCTCTTATTAGTTAGTAAAGTTCGTAAAGCTTTGCCTCATAGCAACTCATAGCTATAAATTTGAACCCTAAAGTACCTCTACCAAATAAACAGAACAGCTAAGATCAGGTGATAATACTACAAAACTTTTGAAAGCGGATTGCTTCGTGCCAAATAAAATTTAGTTAAATTAAAGGTTAGAATGATATAAACTAATCGAAAAAAAGTTAAGGATATTGTGTTTTAGCTAGGAAGAAAATTTTTCAGAAAAAATGTGTCGTTTGTGTTTAAAAAAAATACTGTTTGTAAACATAAAAAATTGTACCCAAACAAATAAAAAGCATTATCATCAAAAATCTACATTTAATTTTTGTTTAGAATAGAACTTGTTTGCGTGTTGCTAAGCGGCAGTTTGCGATATTGTGGTTATTCTGTCATCGATAATATGAACAGACATCATTTAACAATAGAGGAAGCAAATCAAGCCATTAAATTGGGTTGGTTATTAGCGGTGCGCGACAGATCGATATGGCTGATCGATTTAAAGTCACCTAAAGTGTAATTTCTAGGCTTAAAATCCAATTTAATGAGACTGGATCTGCCATGGAGAGGCATAGGGAGGGTCGACTAAGGTCGACAAATGCTAGACAGGACCGAAGCTTACTGAGAGGAGCTAGGATGGATCCTGCAAGAAACTACACGTTGTTCAGCCAGGACCTTTTGGCTGCCAGTAGAGTACGTATTACCCCTCGGACGGTTTTAAATCGATTAAAAAGTTTACATTGCTATAGGCCTATGAGACGCCCTCTGTTGATCGCGAGAGTCAGGTTGAGGTCATAAAACTCAACGTTTGCTCTGGTGTAATGAAAGAACTAACTGGGATGATGAGTGGCATACTGCGATGTTCAGCGATGAAAGCCGCTTTTCTCTTTGTACTGACAGACGTACAGTTCGTGTATGGAGACTAAGTAATACAAGACTTAACGACCGATATGTTCAAGAAGGACATCCCTTCGGAGTTTGAGGTATAAGGGTCTGGGGTGGAATTTTCTACGGAGGCCGAACGGAATTGTTTGTCTGTGAAGGCACAATGACAGGTGAAACACATTTTTTCTGAAAGAAATTCTTCTTAGCGAAAACACAATATCCTTAACTTTTTTCGATCACTTTATATGTAGTATCACAATATGTAGTATCTGAACGCATTCGATGAGTTTCTTTCAAATTTTAGTATATCTAGAAATAGCATAACGACACGAAAAGCAGTGAAAGATAAAAATAAAACTAATGCCAGTGTGCCAAATAAAAACTCACTTTAATAATAGTGTGCAACGGCACGTGGACGTATGGAATCTCGTCCACTGGGGTCTCCATAAAATAAGCCAGCACGCATCGGAGCACTGCCTGATGGGAGACAGTCAATACGTTTGTTTCGCATTCCAGCTGCGTAAGAACGGGTACCAATCGCTGCATGACGTCCACGTACGATTCCCCTTGCGGATAACGGTACTTCAGCTTCTCCCTATCTCTCAAAGCGAGTTCCTTTGGAAACCTTTCTTGCAGTTCTTCGTAGGAGAGACTCTCACAGTCGCCCTAGAATGAAAAAGAATATTTAATATACCTGCTCTAAATATACCTTAAAATATTTAATGTGGTTTAAGACTTCGATTAAATACACTAAAAAGATACAGCACGAATCTACAATAACGTAAGTTTTGTCAGCGTAATAAAGACTTGTTAGACGTTTACAACAAGCTGTATTTCGAATAAACTAAGCGTTGATTCGTTGCATGGAAGAGCTTCGATATACTCTTTTATTTGAATAAAAAGATTAAGGAAAGAGTGTTAGTAGAGACTATCCATATATTCATGAATGGTAGACGAAATCGACATCATAGGTCCCCATCCCTGACAGTTCTGTTTGACGTTTCAATTGAAATATTTGAATTTGATTTGAAAATTTGTGTAATTATTTTCTTTACTGAGCTTTATTTTATGGTATTTATTATTTATTCCACAATCGGTTTTGTTTAGAGATAGTTAATCTATTGAGACACTATTGCCATGACACTATTGCGACCGTAAAATAGTCGCACAACGTGCGGTAGATCTCGGTCAAAAGTCGAGAAAATAATATTACGCGCGCTACATGTAAAGTAACCAAGTAGTAACCAATCATTTATGAAATTCGCTTAAAATTAACTAATTATGATTTTTTTGGCATTTTCTCTATTATTCACAACTTTAATTAAGATACGTCAATTTGACTTAGATGCTTCAGTAGCTGAGCTAATACTTGTGGTATTATAATTATTATAATTTCTATTTTTATTAGAAACATATATTTTTATCACAATTTTGGGTTGGTTACAGACACATTAACTACTAACACTTACTGACAACGTAAAATAGAACAACAAATTATTGAGTCATGTTTGAGTCTACCCTACGTTATATATTTACACGTTTTAAATAAAATTAGAACGGCAGTGATAAAATGGAATTTAAGTCAGCCATATTAGGTCCCTATCGCGCTCAACCTAAGTTTTTTTGTTTTTTGTTATGCTTCTCCTTAATCTTCTTATCCAATACGGGTCAGTGATCATAAATTTACAATTGATTCTTATGTATATCTCGACTTTTTAATGCCGGTGTGCTGTACCTTTACTATATTTTTTAATCTAATGTTCAACATAGTTCAGTAGCGGATTAATAAATTTAAAAAGGGATTATTCTCATTTCAACTGAGCGCTCTCTTTGAAACGCGTATGCGTTTTATAAATGTCACTATTTTTGTGTAACGACCATAGTTTCACATAAATTTGACCTAGTACTGAAAAGCTCGGCGCCTTTTAAGAAAATGTCATGTGGACAAGCTTAGAGAAATTTAATGGCTGCTGTTATAATAATTCTTGCACTAAATACCCACACTGGGCTTTCTAAAGAAAAGCAAAGGCAACCGTTTTGCTCTGCTATTTTTTTTTCAAAGGAAGTTTAAGGTCTTCTGTATCCAGTCAGCCTTTTATGTTCAGAATAGGTTTTTTTTATATGCCTAAGTGTAAAAGGGCTTTGTATTTTCTTTGAGCAGGTGGTCCTTTTCATATTGGATTTTTGTCTGTTTTGGATGTAATTCCCAAATAATAACGTGTGAAAGCGGCATCAGTACAAGTGATACTTTCTTCCAATTTAAAGAGAATAATAAAGACGAAAAGAATACTATATATACATATGTGAAAAGGTACGTGTTCTCTTTAAGCTTTGGTGTTAACATTTATTATCCATATGATCGACAAAAAAACGGATTCAGCGATGGCTATGAATTATTAGTATTATTCATAAATACCTACTAATAAGAAATTTACTTTTTTCTCATAAATAAAAAATAAATATTGTAGTTTCGTAGCATGTCTCTATGTAGTCTAACCTACATAAATTTTGCAGTATAGTGTGAAGTGATATATTGCAGGTATTATTATATAGTTTCTGCGTATATTTCAAGAAAGTAGAGTTGATAAGAAGTTGTTAAAAATAGGTTGACATCACCTTGTCGAGTGTAATCACACGTTAACTTATTTCCACATCAACCTTTCAATAATATATTGCACAAACAAACCTTTTGTTTACGCTTGTTGATTCTTGTTAGCAGGTCCAAATTATGATCGAAAATAGCACAGAATTTACTTCTCTCTTGACAAACATTTACTTATTCCTTTGATAACGGAAAATAACCCACAAAACGAGAAAAATATGTTTTTTTCAGTAAACTATATTCCAGGGAAATTTATACATTGAAAAGTGTATGGTGCAATGTTTAGTTAATAATATATCTAATAAACTGACTACATAACTATAATATTAAATGAACGTATTATATTAGATATTAATTGTTTTAGCACACTTAAGTAATTAAATATGTTTTGAACAATTAACCAATTATAACGTATGATCAAAAAAAACGGCGTCCAGTTGGTTTGGAAACGAACATCGATGACATTCCCTATAGAATTTTACATATAAAATAACAGCGATCTTCATTTCATAGCCATTGCTGACGCCGTTTTTATTTCGATCATATTGTAAATGTATAGTGTTATTATTAATTCGCCACACTCTAATAAATTAAATTTTGTTTTTGTTTTAGGAGTTGAGATGATTATGGATCTTCCCAACAAAAATTCACACTATTTTAGGTATAAAGGCGCATTCTCACAACTCGTCTACTTGACAAGTATTTTTTTATTGGCATACAGGGTCTGACGGGAATGCGGCGTAGTTTCTATAATAAATAACTCAGAAATTCTGTATAGATGCCCGACGCACCATGTATACCCTGTATACCAATTACAAATGTTTGTCAAGTACACGAGTCGTGAGAATGCGCCTTAACATATACAAAATTAAAAAAAAATATATATATATAAAAAATCTGATACATTAAACTCGATTCTGCCAATTAAATATTAAACTAAATTATTATTAAAAATTATTTTATAAAACGAATTTTCCAAATTAACAGTTTACGATTTTCCAAAATAGATTGATGTGCCAAAATGGGACTGCATTTTACTTGAAATGCCTACACGATAATGGAGATATTCTAGTATAATTTAGATAGTATTATATTTAAAATGTTTATTATGTGAGTTAATTTTGTTTTTAGTAAAAACTGCAATATACCAAAACCACTTATTTCTAGGGTGTCCGTTCAGAGTGACAAAAATGGAGATGATACTTCAGATTCAAATGATTCTGCTGATTCTTCAGACTTTGGCCAACAAAAACAGATACTATTACGTAGCCAGAATTTTAATTAATTACAAGCCAGATCCTTGTACGAGCCCTAACAACTATATGTTGGGACAAGGTCATATTTTGGAATTATTACCCTGGTTTTTCAAAATGACTGAAAAATATATGTTTAATTTTTTAAATATAAACGTAGCCATATATCCTAAACAACTTGACAATATTTTTATGAATTTGTAAATCAATCCATATTTACAGTAGCGGATTTTGTTCATAAAAGGACAAATTTGCCTGACAACTAAATGTTGGGACAAGTATTTTTAAATAATTAATATCATCATAGGCGGCTTTGCTATAAACGTCACAAATGTCGCAAACTGTTTACTTCAGCATTGACAGCTTGTAAGTGACTCGATACTTTGAGTAGTGAGACTTACTGTAAGTAATTTTATTTTTTTTAATTTTCAATTTTGTTAATTTAATCCAAAGTAATGGTCCGTGGAAAAGCTACAAATCAAAAACTACGCGAAATTATCATTCGTCAATACAGTACGGGAAAAACAATTCGAAAAATTTCTGATGATTTAAGTATTCCAAAAACCACGGTCTTTAATATAATAAAAAAAATACGGCGAATTTGCCAATGTAGGCGTTAGAGGTAAAAGTTCGGGAAGGCCGAAAGTTGTATCTCTTAAGAGATTTACGAAATTTAGTAAAAAATTGCGAGAAGAGTAAAAAATTGCGAAAAGTCTGCGAGGAGAAGTACTCTTCACGAAGTAACAGTTAAATGGAATACTGTAACTGGAAATATATCAAGAGAATGTTGCCGAAAATATATCCATAAATGCGGTCTGGGGTTTTACAAGGTAAGCTTTCTTTCGTGTGAATAATCAATTACCTGAAGATTATTGATACAAATTCTTATTTAGGCCAAAGAAAAACCGCTACTGACAGAAATTCAAAAGAAAAATCGCTACAATTGGGCAAAATCTAAATTATCGTGGACACAAAATGATTGGAATAAGGTCATATTTAGCGATGAGTCTAAATTTGATGTTTGCGTTGAAGATCATCGAAAAAGAATAATACGAAATAAAGCAGATTTCTTTCATAAAGATTGCCTAAAGAGTATTGTTAAATTTCCTAAGGGGATTATGGTTTGGGGTTGCATGTCAGCAAGAGGTTTGGGCAAATTAAATTTTATAGATGGCACGCCCAAAAATATCAACATATACTTGAGACCTCACTTTTGCCTAGTGCTCAAGAATTGTTTCCAAACGAAGACTATATTTTTCAACAAGATGGAACATCGTGCTATTCAGCAAAATCAACTAAAAATTGGTTCGGTAATAATAATATAAAAGTTCTATCCCATCCTGCAAGTAGTCCGGACCTCAATGTTATAGAAACTGTGTGGTATAAAATGAAGCAATATTTAAGAAACCACCCTCAACGAACAATTTTTGATTTGCGTACAAAACTGCAGGAAATTTGGAATAATTTTTCTCCTCAAATGTGCCAATCTTTGGTAAATACAATGCCATTAAGAATTCAGGCAGTTGTTAAGGCGAAAGGTGATGTAACTCCGTATTAAACAAATTTCTTGTTGTGCTGTCCCAATATATAGTTGCCAGCAAATTTGGCTTGATTTTGACAAAATAAGCTATTATCAAAAGTGATTTGTTTGCAAAGTTATAAAAATATAGTAAAATTGTCTAGATCATATTGTAATGTTTGAATTTAGAATAATAAACAAAATAAATTGAGTCGTTTTAACAAATTACTATTTTTATTGCAAAAAAAGACCTTGTCCCAACATATAGGTGTTAGGGCTCGTATAGTGCAACATCTTTAAACAGTAAATTGTAAAGATCTATTCTGATTTGTTTGATAAATAGATACATTTAAAATACCATGCGAAACTGTTTTCTAGAAATATAAAATATAACCTTGTAAAAATAATAAAATTCAAAACATCTATACTTATTACTACAAAAAATATTGCACATCGCCATAACCATCTATTGCACACTGGTTTTGGACTGTTCTTTTGTTTAAGAACTTTAAAAAAAAATTGTAGTTTATATTTTCTGCAACGCAGCTTGGTCTAGGATGCTCTTTTAATAAAATAATATGATGGTTGAAGTATCAAAATCTGATGTTAGTTCCCCACTTTCAATCATTCTAGTGACAGTTACCGGACAGAAATATTGAACACCGGGTTCATTTCTTGAAAAAAACCCGGCATTTTTTCATGAGATGTATCCATCACAAAGGATTAGACATTATTTAATGGACCGTTTTTTAAACTTTTTTTTGTTCCAGTTGGAATGCACGAAAAGCTGATGCTCGCCAAAAATAACGATCACAATGCGACTTTTTTTTTCTACGGCTCGTTCGTTCAAAGAGTCGTGAGAACCGATTCATTGCTCACAATACGGTTCAATGAAATACTTGTTTTGGAATTCTTTCATTGTGCATTCTCTGAACGTGGCTGTACCATATTAATTGTTTTTGTTCTATAACATTTACTATTATTCTCTCTATTCTCATCTGTCGTCTGATGTCTTCATTTCTGATTTTATCCTTCCGTGAAATTCTCATTGCTCTTCTAATCGCGTCCATTTCTGTGTTGTCTCTAATTTCCTTTTATTCCTTTCAGTGAGTCGCCATGTTTCACATCCATAGAGTAATATGCTTTTAACTAGTGTCTCGTATATATTATATTTTCTGTTCTTTGTAATTTCAGTGCCCCATAGAATCCCATTTATGCATCTGATAACTCTTCGTGCCTGTATTACTCTGTTGTTTGTTTCTCTATCGACCGTTCCATCTCCTGTACATATTGAACCCAGGTACCTGTATCTTTACATGCATTAATTTCCACATTATTGTCCAAATTAAGATTTTCTGTATTGGCTCCATTTGGTAGGTTATTTCGTTTTTTCTGTATTTACTGTGAGACCCCATTTAGCGTATTCTTCAATTATTTTTCGCACCATATATTCCATATCATCTTTGTCGTTTGCGATTATGGCCTGGTCGTCTGCAAATTGCAAGGTGCATAAGCTTATGTATAAGTAATTTTCTACAACCATGACACGAAAAAAACGAAACTTGCAGTGTACCGAGCAATAATAATCCCCATCATGTTATATGGAAGCGAAATCTGGGTGCCGTACCGCCGACACATGAACGCATTAAACAAGTAGCAACAGGGGCACCTTAGACAATTCTTAAGAATCAAATGGTTCCATCGTGTCTCAAACGTATGGGTTCTTGAAAAAGCTAACTGCGAGAGTATTGAAGTCATGGTTACAAAATCCCGACTAAGATGGGCTGATCACGTATGCAGAATGCAAGAAAACCGCATACCAAAATTACTGCTTTACGGTTAGCTTGTAGACGGTAAGAGGAGGCCAGGTGGACAACTGAAAAGGTACATTTTCCACGAAAACTTAAAAGGGATGAACGTGCAGAATGAGTGGGAAGAAGCAGCTCACAATGGAACTCAATGGAGAAGGATTAGAAGGAACTCTAAAGAAAGTTAACAGCGACAATCAAAAAGTTAAGACGCAACAAAGCAACGAGATTTTTGAATTTCCGGAGTGCGGTAGACAGATAACATCACATATCGGGCATTTCAGTCACAGAAAAACTCATGAAAGAAAACGCCTTGCGTGACCATCTTCTGATGCGTGTCATATACTCGTCAGCGAGTAATGGCAGTAGTAGTATATATACATAAGTGTATAAGCATATGTCATTTAGTTCTATACCCATTCCGTTACCTTTCCTTTTCCATAGATGTAAGGCATTGGCAATATAAATTTTAAATAATGTTTAGGCAGCAACCCTGTCGGAGCCCTTTAGTAATAACAATTTTCTCTGGGAGACCGTTGACATCGATGATATTCCCCATATAATTTTACATATAAAATGACAGCTATTTTTATTTCATAGCCATCGTTGACGCCGATTTTTTTTTCGATCATATTGTATTTAAGTCCCCCGGGACGGCATTTCTGGCATAGGTTACAGATTGCCGCTTGCTTGTGGGGTATAATAATTATCAGAATATTCATACTTAGTTAATGGAATTCTTTTATTTTTTTTTACAAATCTTTAAATTACAAAATATAAGCGATGCCATATTACTCCTTTTCTTCCAGTAGAAAGTTCCTTTTAAGTTTCTCTATTTTTAAATAGCTTAGACTAAGGTAAGATGTTTTGAGGCATACCTACCAACATCCTCAGTCCACGCCCTGGATACTTACCGACCAGATCTCGTCCAGTTCGTGCAGCGCCTGTTTGGGCGCGTTGATGTGGGCGCTGGTGGCCTTGGTGCGTTGAAGGGTGGACGTCCAGACCTGGAGGCCTGGTAAGTTCAAGGCGTGGATGTGCTTGGCCAGCGACTTGGAGTACATGCGACCCCTCGGCGACAACGGAGCGTCGCCGCCTATGCGTCCGATAACGTTGAACTCGCTTTCGCCATGCTGCGTAAAGAACAAAACAAAATGAGAATATGAAATTAACGTGTAGGTAGTCGTAATGTTCGGTGGGTAAAGATGTTGAAAAAATGCATTGTACGTGATATTGCATACAATACACGTGTTGAACAGACGTGGTGTTGTATATAACATTTTATAAATGCACTATAGTATTTTTTGTGGATTTAACGTAACACTGTTTCGATCTTTAATATAACAACAAAGCATACATTCTATTGATATTTATATTTTTGTTAATAGAAGTCATTACATACCGAGTGTCCTATTTTGATTACAAATGAGGGTTATCTATTTATAAGGGTTATCTCTATTATTTATACATTTTTGACGTTAAAGCAAAACTATATGATTACTTATTTATAAAATAAATATACAGGGTTAGATACTTATTTAACAAAATTAATATCATTTTTTTTGTCTAATCAAATACCGGGAATATACATTATTAATTTTATGGAAATTTTTAAATGTGTACGTTTAATATTGCACTGCTACCTAAACTCAAATATGAACTAATTTATGATGAAATTTCAATATTCTTGGTTAAATCAGCATCATGACGCATATGGCGATGGCATTGGAGCCAAAGTTTACAGACAGTAAACTATGTTAGAACTGAATAGAACACTTAGTGTGGTTTATACGGACTATAACTATGGTCGACAAAAGGTGGAAAATCTAAAACTCTGACACCATTATTATTATTCTCACTAGTGGCGGATATAGAGAGGGCCCATGGGGCCCGGGCCCCCCTAAAATATATAAATTGTGTTAAATAAATGGCTTTTGGGTTAAAAATAGTGTCCTAAAAAGCATATTCTACATTAATTTTTATTTTGCCCCCCCCCCTAAAATAAATTCCTGTATCCGCCCCTGATTCTCACCTATTTGACCTACCCTGTGCATGAACTTTAACTTTAATTAAAAAATCTATAAAATAAGAGACGAATAAAGCCGGGATCCCATTAGGCCACACGCCACGCCACGCCATACCACCCCACGTCATGAAGATCTGGGCGTATGTTTTTCCATTTAATTACATGTGTTGCGTACACACTAGGGCTCACGCCACGCCACTCCACGCTATTACACATGCGATGGGCGATTCGTCCAGATCTCATGTGTACACTCTTTCCCACGTCGCAACACGTGGGCTCACGTGGGATAGCCTGGCGTGACCTAAAAGGCCTAAGGGCGCCTGGCTTTATTCGATTAGAACAAATTTATTCCTAAATTTTTATTGAATTTTCTATATTACGTTATTTGGTCCTCACTGTATAGCTATTTTATAGGTACCTATATAGAGTATGTCCCCGGATTGTCTTTACAAGAAGAAAACCTTCTTTATTATTGACATTTTGAGAAGAATGAATTCTTCATAAAAATGTTTGCTTGTTCTGTTAATCCCGTTTTGTACTTTTCCAAATTCCCATACCGTTTAGGAGCAAATTAAAAAAAAACATGAAAATATGGTTGATTTTTTCCTTGAAAGTCCTAAAAATCAAAGCGTTTCAAAATAATTTCGATTTTATTTTATTTTATACATGGTTACTAATAATTTTGTTGTTAAAGTATCATATTTCCCATAGATATTTCCCGACAAATATTATCACCATTCCCGTAGCATTGAACTAAATAAATGTTGTGCTTCTTTAACATTTTAAAATAACAAAAATATGACATTAATTAAAATTCTATCAATAATAATCTATCAAAGAATGAAAAGGAAATTATATTATCATAGATTGCTATTTGTGCTATTTATTACATTGCCTTTTGATTTTTAGGAAAAGATTCAACTGCGAATTCATGTTTTTTTTATTTTCTGTAAAATGGTACGGAAATTTGGAAAAGAATAAACAGGATTAACCATTTTAGAACAAGCAAACATTTTTAATTTAATTTTTTTCCTATTATAAAGACAATCCGGGGACATACTGTATAAAATATTAAAAAGTTTTATTAGTTGTTTCTTGGGTGTTGGGCTATGGTCAAATTCAAACAATAATCTTTCGACGTTTCGCATTTAATGTAGTGCTTCTGCAGGAATATATCTTGGAAGTAGTAGTGCTTATTTTCATTTCTTTACTGAGAGTGTAACTCTCAGTAACTCTCAGTGAAGAAATAGCCCAACACCCAAGAAACAACTAACCAAACTTATTATATAAAGGCTAAAGAATAATTACATTCTAAAATATCCTTCTTAACTGTTTTACATTGTTTCCTGGAACAGTTTATTGGCTTTAAAATTACTATATGTTCTCGAGAAATATTACCATGTGTATAATTCTAGAAGCAAATTTTACACCTCAAAATAAATATTTTCCTCTCCTGCAAAGCCATAAATTGTAAAACACGCACGACGACACGGAGCAAAATAAGCGTCCAGGTTCCTAAAATATGATTTCGGGAAATGGTTAATATTTATATAATTAGACTTTGTCCCCGGGTCGAATTTGTGATAAAAGAGAATGTGTTGGGAACACCGTTTACACCAGATTATTTTTAGGACGAAATGTAGACATTTAGTAGCCGAGATAAATTTAACGATGCTTTTGTATCGTGTATTTAAGTTGCTCTACATTCTAAATAGTATGCAACATCGAAATGAAACACTAGTCCACCAAAATACGCCAAAACAATAATTCTAGACGCAAATTTCGATAACCATGTTAGAATCATCAGCTTTTTTATTGATGATGTTACTAACATGGTTAATGAAACCTGTTCCAGAGTTTAAAGTACATTGTTTTGGTGTGAACTAGTGATTATTGTTTTGCTGTTTTAACGCCAAAAGTTCTAGCCTCAACTGTACTATAGAATACAACACAGCAAATAATAAAGTATCCAAAGAAATAACTGCTGAATAGATTGAATAAAGGTTAGAAGAAATGCCCAAGTAACGACTTCATAGATTGAAAATTATTTTGTTGTAATAATTAATTAAAGAAATGAGCAGGATATTTTGAAGAGACATTTTTTTGGGTTTTTATACGTATAACAAGCCTGTCCAAAGGGAGGAATACTGATAGTGATACTTGGGTCTGTTATTCTCATTCAAAGGCAAATTGAACTAATAATAAAATGTTGTTTTTTGTATGTCGAAATCTTTCCGGGCTCATTGGACCAACCTTACAGGCGTAAATTAACAGAAAATGTGTACATATCACAGCATTATTTGAAATAATTTATCGCTGATTCTATATTGAATTTATACATAGGACATCGCTAATCGCTATATACCGGGTACGTCTCAAAAGTGGTTCACCCCTATAACTTTTTTATTTTTTCAGTTAAAAAAACGAGATTTGGTATATTATATAGTATATGACATAAATTAGGATTGATTGACATATTCAATTGTTTTCGGTCACTTCCTGTTTCACCAGAAATGACTTCAACTTTTGATTTTTAAGTAGCACCCTGGGTATTTTTTTTACTTTATTCAACAGAAAATTACATTCTGAGTATAATGACATATCATATGTCAACTTTTGACATTTTCGCATATGGTAAATTTGAAATTATAACATAACGAAAATTTGTTTCGAAATACCAAGTATGTGGTATCAATTTGTAAAAAAAATGCTTTTCCAAATATGCGAGCCACCCTCGTTTCATTTGAAAAAATTCAGATATGATTAAAAATACGATTTGGGCATCTTTCAACCAGCCAGGAAACTAAAAAGATTAAACGGTCAAATCTATTTTTTCAAGGCTCCTTGATTAAAAATTAGCGTTTTTAACATACTACATCTCTAGATTGAAATTTAAAATACGATTTTTTATTGAGCGAGAATGTCAAAAGTTGACATATGATATGCAATTCTATTCAGAATTACATTTTCTATGGAATAAAAATAAAGTAAAAATATACCGAGGGGGCCTTTTAAAAATCAAAAGTTGTCATTTCCGGTGAAACAGGAAGTGACCGAAAACAATTAATTGAACACGTCTATCAATCCTAATTTATGTCATATACTAACATACCAAATCTCGTTTTTTTTATCAGAAACTTTTGAGACGCACCCGGTATATCTCTATTTTAAAATTTTTTTAAATTTTATGAACGAACATATTTTTAAGCAATTGCTTTTCATTATTTTTTGGAACAAATTACTTTGTAGTTCGAAAAATAGTATAATCTCTATATACAGGGTGGCGCACCTCATTCGCCTCGATTCATTATACGAAAACGGAAAGATGTAGAAACATATGTTTTTATGGGTATATGTAGAAAGGCAATGTGCATAATTTAAAATTATTTTCAAATGTACCGGGTGTGTCAGAACTAATATCCATACCAAAGTTATATTTTTTCTTATGGAACACCCGGTATTTTATTTCATTTCTGGATTCTTGGGCATAAAATAAGGTATTTATTATAAGGGTTTAATACGTTTAAATGCTATGGTTTTTGAGATATTTAAAGATATTTAAATATGCATGCTATAATAAAAAAGTTTGTCAACAACCTGTACATTACTTTTCAGAGTTAACTCATGTTCTGACTTTGACACCAGAGAAATAAACTTTACTAAAAAAGTTTATTGCTTCCTTAAATGTATACAGGGGTATCAAAAATTGCTTGTCTATATTAAATATTTATTTTACATAAAAACTTCGTTATTTCAAATACAACACTATGTATTTTTTTTAAATAAATCGAAGCAGATTCAAATGCTCTTTCAAACTATATTAGGGTTTCCTATACCTATCTGGCTCAGATTTTGAATAAAATGTGATTTTTAATAAAATGGCAATTAAGATGGCTGGTGTCGCCATGGCAATTTTCTAGTGACAGTTAGTAGCTATTTTCAAAATCGACATTAGTTTATGGACTTTATTTATCAGTGTACTTTTAATTAATTTACCTACAATAGTTTAATAAGTAAGTATTTATTATTTTATCAACAAAAAGAAAGAAGTTGTGTTTTGGTTTATATTACGATGACTTGTAGGTAGGGAATCTTGTAGATTTTCTA